TACTTGTGGTGCGTATCGTTGCGCATGTCGCACAGCGTTTGTTGCTATCGATTACGGCTGCGGTAAACCCCCGTTTGCGCTTGTATCGAGCAGCGTCTACGAAAACTGCGTCCTTGTCATTACCGAACTTTTTTTGTATGCCATTTTTTTTTACACTGCAACACCTTCAGATAGCCCATGTGTTTTTTTTTATTATAGTCAGATAAAAAGCTAATATCAATCCCGAAAATGCAATATACCTAAAAAATTTTAATGGTCATGAGCTACAGTGGCAGCTACAATTAATGGATCTTTTGCCTTGAATCAGAAAAATGTGTTACATATAGGAATACAATTGACTTTTATTTATGCAGTGCACGGAATATACCTAGTCATTTCAGGTTTACTCAACATGATACACTGCTAGAGAGTTTCATGTCAGTTTTATTTTCTCATGTGTTGACTTTGTACCAAGATCAACTCTACAGGACAGGGAGTATTAGAAAGGTAAAATGCAGCGAATATGTTTTCATCAAAAACAGTTTTCTGTAGGCTTGCAATTCCAAGGTGCAACCCTAGCATCCCAAAGTATGCACATGGTACTGAGAAGAGCACTATTGTTTATTTTGAGTGATTTTTTTGTTGTTAAAAGACAGCAGTTCTGTTCCAAGTATGTAGCATATGGAATACACACTCCACTTTCTTACAAGAGTAAAATGAAAGCACTTTGGGGAACAACATACTTCAATGTTGTGAAATGATGCAGATAACAAAATTTAGATAAATAGATAACACAAATAAAAAAAGTACTGTGGACATTGGAATGCCCTGCCAACACATGTGACATTATACAGTGCATGTGTTCACAAAAATTATTAGCAGTCCAAAGCGTCTAAGCCATAGCTCCCATGTCTACCACAAGACAGCCTCTTATGAACTTGTAGTTACAATATTACTTACACGAGAATCAATATTATTTAACATCCCAAAGTAGCATATGAGCTATAATTTTTGAAATCCAAGTGACATGCACCAAAGTGTAGTACAGAAGAGTTCCCACATTTATACTAATATTTAGCTAAATAATTGAATGCTTTCATCACCTCATGAGTAAACACAACCTCAGCATTTGCATTATGCTTCCTCAGTATAAATCTAGCTGGATGTGTGGCTCTAGGGTGTCATCTCTTTCTCTATTTATTCCAGTTGTTCAGATGGCTCATAATTTGTTTGATCAGACATTCTTCTTTCAGTACCACTGTCACCAACTCCTTTAATTTTTAATTTCAAATAATTTGTACATTCACGGTGACATACTGGAAAAGCTGTCACTAAAGCGGACTCTTCTCACTTTCTGATCCAGCAATTCAAGCAGGAATAGTCATGCTTTGTAAAGAATGTCCCCCCCCCCCCAAAAAAAAAAAAAAACAAGAGAAATGAGAGAGCCAGTAAATCTAAGTGAATGATGATGTGCCAACTTGGACTTGATACTGTAGCCCACTGATTCTCCCTAAATTTGTCAAATACCCATACTTATTGGAGTGAGCTGGGATTAGGATTTTGTGCCTTGTCTCCAGAGCCTTCTCCTTAAAGTATTTTACATAATAAGCATGTTAGCAGACTGTATATAGCTTGAAGCCAGCAATTCTTCAAACACAAATGCTTGTGACGCCGGAGGCTTGAAGCACATTTTAAGGTATACTAAATTCATAAAAAATTTCTGTGTGCATGAAAACTCATCTGAAAACATTCTTTCCCCAATTTTTCCTGGTCAGAAAAGCAGTCACATTATCTTACTGCCTCAAAAATCATATTTCAGCCGGAAAGAACAATCTTTTTCCTTTTTACCAAAAGATAAAATAAAACTGACAACATAACACTATGTACGAGCTTGCAGAATATACTAGTAGATGAAAGGTACACCAAAAATTATTTACTTATTAACCTGAATGAGAGAACACTTTACAGAATGGGCGACTTTAGCTTTATGCAGCCAAAATGCACCCATGTAGCGTCAACAAAAAGCGTTGAAGTGTAAATTTAAAAGAATAAGTATGTGTAAGTCATTGTACTTTCTGCATTTTATTTATCGCATGACAAAAAAAGACTAATGAGAATATAGCTGAAAGTGTTATGAAAGTGGTGAATAATTTTAAAGGAATACTGACATGATACTTTCGACTCTTTTTCTCCTTTCTTTTTTAGTTGAATGATGGTATACCGCCTCAGAACCATAGAGAGATACTGCTAAGCATCAGAGTGCCCACCATAACTTAATAGCTCGCTTAAAGCGAGTTTTAGTTTCCTTTCTGGAAGTTGTACTCTATTGTGATATCATGGCCAAAAAGGTCATTGTTAGAAAGAGCGAATTGTGGCATTTTGGTGCTTGCTCACTTGCTTGCTCCATCATTCTATTTTGCTATTCATTGGTAAGACTGATTCAGCAGTGTAGCAGACAGAGCAAGCCAGAGCACATGTGAAATTTTGCAAAGAGTGCTGCTCCCGCACATTAACCTCCTGGGTCACGATGTCACAGTATAGTACAACATCCATAAAGAAAAGCTGGTACCAGCTCTAGAAAACCTGTTAGATTAAATTATTCTCGGCACTCCAAGGCTCAGCAGCATTTTTTCTACAATTCAAGGGTCCCCGAGCTTCACCTTATACTGAAGATGAACAGTAAAAAAAAAAAAAAAAAAAAAAAAAAAAAAAAAAAAAAAAAGCGCCAGTATTTTCAAAATACTTCAACAATTTTTATGTCATTATGCAGGGCTATGTTTACATAATTGCTATAGTCAGATGTGGTTTTGAGGCAATACACTGTTTCTGAGCACATTGAAGCCGCAAGAAGCAAGTATTTACCACCCCTCCTCCCCTTTTTTGTAATGTTACAGAGCATCTCCTGTCCACAAAACTTAAAAGACGGTTTTGGCCTTAGTTGAGTGGTTACATGTTTGTTTGTACAAGTGCTATCTGACCAGGTATACAATATTCCTCAAAGAAGAAATCATGAAAAAACAAGTACACAAGAATGACACATAATTGACAAAAAAAGTGAAAACACTGGTAACAGGTATACAAAATACAAGGGAGTGTTGATAAGTTGTGAGCCTTACTGTAACCCTTTTATCTAATGAACATCCTCAAAAATGAATTCGAATATATATTAGTATCATGAATAACTACGGGGCAAGCTTCAATGAGAACTAAGAGATAAGTTTTGTCCTTTGAACAATTTTTTTCTCTTTCAACTTTTCCGAACAGAAATGAAGCCATGTCATCCATCCCTTGTAATCCCCAAGAGTGTCGTACAGTGATCAACTTTTTTACGCATGAGGGAAACATGCAATGTAGATTTCAGCGATGGTCACCAAGAGTAGAGAATACCTTTTCGTGTGCTATAGTTAAAATATTGGCACCTATATTATGAACAGGCAACAACAGCATGAATGACGAAGTATGTCCTGTCATACCTAGGGATGTGACCTGGGAACATATGGACATGGTTTATGAAATAATTTTCGAAAACAGAGGGCCATCTGCTCAGCAGAGTAGAAGCTCTTAATTTGTAGCAACAATGGGCTGTTTACAATAATGGGCTTGGGCTGTTTACTCCCTCATTTAGTTGATATCATGGTTACAATTAAGTGGTCCCCAAATGCTTCACTGCTGACTAGTAACACATGAATGCAAGAGAACTCTGACCAATCTCTATCATTCTAAAGATAATAAATGTGATTAAAGTTGTGAAAACTGATGATGACTCACAAATGGGTATCTTTATAGGTTCCGAGACTATGAAGCAGTAGGAAAAATAGGTACATTTGGATTCCCTTAAGCCAAAGTTCTCAGAGCTAATATCAACAAGCAAGTACATGGCATTAGTGTTTTGGGACAAGATATAATCATCCTCCTAGACCATCCGGAAACTGGTACAACATTCAAAGCAGTTCATTCACCAATGTAGGAGAAAAATACATATAGGCTTTCACAAGCCTAACAGAACATTGTGAATTAGGTTGATGGTCATGTATAAAGATACAGTGGTGCACAGGGCACCATCATGACATAAAATCCTGCCAACCTCGAGGTTGACATGGTATAGCATCCAACTCACTTAGCAGACTTAGCATACAGCAGTTATCATCTTAGAGCCACTTTGAAAGGCACACATTTTTACATTTTTCGACCTGTAGACATATGACAGCCGCTGCAGATAAATGACTCCATGCTCAACCCCAAGTGCTTCTTCTGGAAGGCCTATCAATGCTGAAGATTAACTGCTCGAAATGCACTGATCTTCAGGTAGACTATACTGGATATGCGGAGAATTCCGATTACCTTGTGAATAAGTCTCAAGACTTATCAGCATGCCCCTGTATGTGTTGAGCAGCCCTAAAATTGTCAAATTCGTCTCTATACAGCAACCACAATAGGAAGGTGACATGCAGTGTGCCAGCTCAACAGTAACTTCATAGAGATATCTTTCGCAATGACCTTTTTCACGAAATAGTACAGGTTATATCTACCAATGCATTAGCCTTTCCAGTGCATGTAATTATATATCAGTCATCTCAATTTAAATGAAAACACATTGTTTACTTCTGTGGAAAAGATAAGTTTCTTGTAAATAAAATAAAAACCTTGCAGTGCAAATGCAGAAACATTATCTTCTTTTTTCATGCAGCACATCACATGAAGTATTTCAGTAAGCAAAGCTAGTGCCAGGACAGCATTTCTGAGTAGCACTAGAGGCAGATGTTATTTTGCTACATACAAGTTATGCACCTTTATTAATAACATGTGATGTGCCTAAGTTGAATTAGAGCATGAATATCATTTTAGTACTAAAACTTGGAGCTCCTATACAAAATAATTGGCACTTATTACAAGTAAATATGAATGTACATGCTAGAATCAACTAAGTAGCATATAAATATTTGTGAACACATGACTTTGAATGTAGAAATAAATACACATATATATTTATAAAATGTTTAGAAAATGGATGGAAGAGGCAATAGGGCGAATGCATTCTTTTTTATCCTTCAAAAATTGGAAGGCTGTCTACTGTGAAACCTAAAAACCAGAGCATCCAGCATCCATATAAATAACATGCAGAAAAACAAGTAGCATCCGCATGAGTAACACGCAAAACGCCGTCACAGTTTTGTATGAATACAACAACAAACGAACAGCAGATGCTATCTAGAAAGATGAATTGACTGTAGGCCAAAGAAATAACGAGAACAAACTGTAAATATTTCATGGTAAGCAAAAGGGTGGCTGCATGGGTTTATACAGTATGTACAAAAACTCTGTAATGCTACACACCACACAATGTGAACACTGTGAGCATTATTTGAAAGAACACGGCTTGTAATCAGTAGGCAGCACAAAACTGAAGGGTCTGTTATTTAGCATGGCCCTGTTATTATGTAAAACAAATGATCCAGTGAGTGCTTCCTGCATATGGCAACACAGCCAAGTGTTACTTTAAACACAGGTTAAAATAATAGCTAATAATTTTATATGTGATGCACAATAGAGAACAGAATTATATACAGTATAGACTCACTAAATGACCTGGATGGTGGAGATTTCACTCATTTGAAAGGAAGTATGTTGAAATCAAATAATGTTACAAAAGACTTCCAGTTCAATGGTTCTGTTTATATATCCATACTTAAATGTAATCCACAGATAGGTTTAGAGAAATTATTTACTGATATCGAAGGCAGCCTGTCATTTTTGACTGCTGTAAAATTAACAGCATTGGCCGCTACACAGGCCTCCATCATTCCAAGACTTCACTGCCACAATTTCTAGGTTCTAAAGAGCTGTTAGCCTCGGCTAACAGCTCTTTAGAACCTAGATGTTGACCTAGGCTTGAGCAGTTATCACTAACAAAGCTACTACAATCTCTTTCTTGCCTTTTTCCTTTATCCTTTATTCTGCTGTTAACAATATGTGGATGTGAGCAACAATGTTTGTATGAGCAGAGCAACATTAGGAGCTGAAAGTTATTGAATTTGGAATGTCCACTACGTACATTTAGAGGTGTACCAAGTTCTTGTATGGTCTCAGAATTAAATTACATCTGATGTATGCATTAACAGAATTCATCATAAATGAAGCCCAATACTTTGTGGTTGTTCAGTTAGAAATTTCTTTTTCCTCCCTTAAAAAAAATTTACTCTTTTGAAACTTTCGGCTTATCTTGCTGACAAACTATACTATGCAACAATATAAAGCCATATTTTTACTTTGACGGCTACATTGTGAAAATTAAGCCGAAGTATATATATATATATATATAAAACAAAAATTATAATGCAAAGACATTCTACTCTGATTTTATTCCAATTTGCCTGGTGTCAAATTTAAGCCGCCAATGACACAAGCATGGGCAGGAACCAGCAACATAAACTGAACAATGGAGGCCGAAATATTGTAGGCCTGTGTGCTCAGATCTGGGTGCACGTTAAAGAACCCGAGCTGGTCAAAATTTCCGGAGCCCTCCACTACGGCGTCTCTCATAATCATGTGGTGGTTTTGGGATGTTAAACCCCACATATCAATCAACATTAACTGAACAGCTTAACAAAATGCTTTTCTTGGCTGCCCTTTTATACGTTGGTTTAAAACAAGTTGCAGTGACTGCTCGGGCACTCTTTCCTCATTTACCTAGAACAACATGGGTAAAAGAGCAGGCAGAAAAAAAAAGGTTGCTCCTGTGTCTCTGATTGGTATACTTTCTCTAGCTTATCTTGTGGTGGGTTGCAAAAGAGCGATGCATAGAATGTATCTTCAGCAAAAGAAAATTTGGCAGTGGGACATTACGCACATGTCAAAAAGGTATGAGAACAGGATACTACCATGCAAAATATATCTCATATGCAAAGAAGCCCTCTTTTCTGGCAGCTGCGAGTAGCAAATGCCAGAATGACTGGTGGGCAGCCGTGTTATATTCTTTACTGAACAGGGCCACACTCCAACTGTCCTGAAATAGTTTCAGCTATAATAGGCACACTAATGCATAGTTTAGTGTGCACACATCACCATGCCAATGAATGTTTATGGTTCTACAATGTGGCACAGTAGACAGATGATGCTAGTGTGATTTGAAAATTTAACCTATAGCTGAGGGCTAGATGTGACAAAAAATAAGTTATCCTGCTATGTTATATCTAATGGTGCAGTTATGCAATCTGTACATGTAATTTTGAGATGTGGTATTTTCCCAATTTCAGTTGGATAGCAATATAGACGACTGCAGTGGGCATGGGAAAAAAGATTTTGACCAATCACAGAGCTCTAATAGAAGATTGAAATGGTATATTACAATAGATTTAGCATGCCATTGCGACCCAGTGGCCTTACCACTTGAATGTGGTCTGCAGTTTGACTTGTAAACGAAAGAAATTAAGTTAGCTGCTGCTTTATAAACAGCACCTGTTTGATCCAAGGTTCACGCCTGATGACCATACTACTCAATATAATGCATGCTTATGCCTTTGATCTGACAGATATTCACATTCTGGGAAATTTACTTCTATGTAGAAGGTAATTGAGTTCCTCACTATATACAAGACACTTCACGTTACTGTTCTAACTTCGCAACAGCTTAATCAGAGTGCACTTAGTAATAGTGTTTTTTTTTTTTCCTTAGCTCTGCATACTAGAGATACATTGTTTTGTGAAATAATTACTCAGCAAAAGAAAAATAATGTGAGAATTAAGCAACATATAAAAGTGAAAGAATGCAACACAGCAATCATCAAAAGTATTTGATTTGCTTCATAGGCAAAATGTCATCCCCAAATTTTTATAAGTGAAAAGACATTTTTATTTAACACCTCCTTCGTGATTCACAGCTGCACTTTGAATAAGCCTTTCTTTATACACTACTATTTTTTTTTTCAATGGCACTATACAGTGCAGCTGAAAAATGCTGTATGACAAAGAAGTAGCCATAACTCAAATTTTAGTTCTAAAATGTCCACATTTCACTTTGATCCAAGCTAGCAGACTCTTCTGAAAATTTTTCAAAATAACCAAGAGGAATTTTGGAGGAAATTTGTTCCATGTCTGCCACACAGCATGTTTAAGAGGTTTGATGGATTTCTGATTCACTGCATGCCATTGATGTACTATCCAGAAACCATTTGAGAACGCAATAAGCTTGAACATGCCACAATCTAACAGTTTTGTGATCTCTAGTATCCAATTTGCACTGAGTAATGATTAGGGAGAACAACTCTTCAGAGACATTTAAATATGATGGGAGAGCTGAAGAAGCAAAAAAAGCCATTTTCATACCCAAGAACAATGAGCACCATTTGAATAATGTCTCTGCTGAAAGTTATAAACAATATACTAAAATAAAATTGAAAGTGTGCCCCAGTCTTTTTCAGTCACCCTGTACACTCGTAACAAATAGTAAACAAAGAAATCAGAGGATGCAAAGTCTCATTATTGGCAGATTTAGCCCTCATGTTGCGCCAGTGCATTACTGCCATGCAGAACAACTGAGCATAAAGGGGCCTTGCAACACTTTTTCATGTAATGAACGAATGGCTTCACTAAAAAAGCTTATCGCCTCACGAATCTATTGCAACAAAATTTTTAGAATCCGTCAAGTACAAGCGAAGTCACAGGGATTTGCTGCGTGCTCTAAGCACTTTATCTCTCCTCTTGTACCAGTGAGCATGCTGAGAGCTATGCAGGGAGGGCGATGATAAGGGGGCTAAAAAAGATTCGCCCTATTGTCAGTGTGTGTCACGACCTTGCGCACATTCTCTTCCTCTATATTTTTTTAAATAAAATGCTGTTTACGCTTGGTGTGATCACGAATGGGGCCCATGGTGGCACCTTGCGACAGTCTTAGTAACTATGGAGGTCACAATGCTGAAATCAGCCAGTGACCCTGATTGCGAGTATGCGGAGCAGGGATATGAGCATGTGGCATTATTTGTGGAAAAAAGAGAGAGCGATTTCAAGGTGAATTTGAGAGCTATGTATTTGTCAACTTCCGGCCGTGTGCTATGTAATAATGTTTGGCAGGAATGTTCTCAGGAGCCTCGGCTACCAATTGGCATTGTTTTCTGACCAAGCTGAAAAAGTGTTGCAGGGCCCCTTCAATTCTAGTCTATGTGTTTTCCCAGTGGTATTAGCGAGTGATCAACACAATATCAGATCCCTGTATTCTTTGCAGTTCTGAAAAGTCTTACATTGCAGCACATTGCTTTCCTATGAACTGCAAAATGTACGATTGTGCTTGGGCACTGTGCCGTGCACTCATTTTTAGTAGCTCATATTGAGCACTATAGCACCACTGGTGCCATTACATTTCATATCACAAAGAGAGTGAAGGAGTCAAATCACTGTAGTATAACGCAGTCAGCTCTTATGGTGCCATAGTCTTGTACACCCGCTGACAGTTATGGAGAACTGTGGGGTGTACTCCATTGTTCACAGGCATCGTAGCTGTTCACAGAGTAAGGTTATGGCACTGTCACCACAAAAGACTGGATCTGAGGGGCTAAATTTAGATTTAAAGTGGGAGATATTGCATTAGCACACAATAAAAACATGAACGAACATGCTTAAAAAAGAAGCAGAGATACATTTGTTTTCTGTGTCATTCAACCTCATTCTTGAGCACGTCTTGGCTCTAACCGGGCAGCTGTAAACTTCTGTTCATTGGTAGACTTAAAACACAAGAACGTTCATAAACAACTTTTAGAACTATACATTCATTGCATCGCATGCAAGCCAGTAAGCCACTCCACCACCATTGCGTCCCTCAAAACTGTCCTCTGCCTGGCAGTCACTTCACCACAGGTGGAAGAATGTCATGAAACATTTGTCATAAAACTGCCAGAAAATATATACATAAAAACTGTCATCACAGAATTGATTTCTGTCCTTTTCAAGACAGGCTGAAGCTGAACTTAACATATGAACTGGGACTAGAGTCAACAATGACGAGAAAATGATGGCATAAGAACTATGACCTCCTCTATTTTTATGAGAGATGCAAAGCTTACTTATCACCAAAAATGAACAAGAAAAGGATGCTCTTAGATGCATGGTTTCTGTTGACCAATCAGCTAGCCAGCCATAACCATTCACCATGGACCAACGCAACAGCAATTAATGCATTTTTTTCATTGCAAGAAATTGTACTTTCAAGGCAAAAACCACTAAGCTCCATGAGCACTAACCATAAAGCTCAATGTAGTAGAACAAAAAAGTGTAAAAGAAAAACTGTTCACAACAATGCCCATAGGCTCTCTTCCCTGTGCCAATCTTTGCTGTCTTATTATCAACAAGTGAATAAGCTGGGATGTTTTAGTTCTTTTAGCAAGCTCCCCTCCTCAACCATCTTGTTGCTCCTCATTCAACTCCTGCAAATTAGCAGCCAAAGCAAAATCAAAGCTACACACTTCATGCTGTACATCTTTCAGTTGACTGCAGGCACTGACTTGCTCACTGTTGTCACTTTCCGGTTGCTCCTCCAACTGACAACAGGCAGATATGAGCTCCACCTTATCGCTGTCAGGGTCATCCAACAGGTTTTTATAGCTGCACGGGGAGTTATTCTCTCTGTCATCGGGCTCTTCCTCAAGGCGGCTGTAAGCAGGCCCGCACTCTTTTGTGGCTGGTCTGTTTCTATTCCGCAGGTAGGCTTTGATAGGCTCTGATCCACCAACAGCCCTGTCCACTTTGCTGGGTGTTATGTGAAAACCTGGCTGCGCACATGCTCCACATTCACAATACAGCCCTGTGATGGCAAGAACACAGCATGAAACAGTTCAGACCACAGCTGGGAGACACAATGGGCATGTCTCTTCATAATTAACTGAATTGAAAACTTTTAATGTATCTTTTCCTGAGGACTTTCCCTAAACATGTGCGAATTTGTTAAACTACCAGGCTGTAAGTCACTTATTCTCTGGCAATACCAACTGTTCATACAACAAAAATCAAAATAAAGTGCATTAAATTTTGGCTTAGAGCAAAAACCATAGGACTTGCATCATGCACTCATTCACATAACAAGGTGAATAGGGCTTCGATTCAGCCAGCCAATTACATGGTCACAAAAGTATACTTTATATGTATGTCATCTTTGGCAATCAACAAGGCTTTGATGGAGGCTAGTTGGTATATGTTTTTTTTTTTTGCTGTACTATACTGTTACACCGGCACAACATGTGTGTTTAGTCTGTCAGTTTTGTTCTGGTGTAACAGTATAGTGCAGCAAAAGAATGTTGGTGGTGTTTAATGAGGTCTAAAATACCCATTGAAGAAATGAGCTATAATAAAAAAATGTGTCATTGCAAGCACTCACCTGACCAATTGTAGTTTCCTAGTTTGCCATGACAATTTGGACAGGTTACCTGTATTGTGGACAGAAAAGCATCGGCACAAAATAAGTAAGGTCAGCACATCTGTATATGCACTAAGTCAGTGAGCACATCGTAACTAGACCCGTCGATACCAATGTGTGAACTGGTAAATCCCGAGCACATGCCCTCGTCCCTTTTCCGGGTGGTTATTACAGTTTGCCACAATGGCAGCACACGCAACATGGCCAATCTAGGTCACTGTAAATATAATTGTGGAAAGCCAGTGGTCACTGTCTTGTTTTAAAGGCACGCACTTAAACAACACAGCATCAAATGGGGCAGAACAAGTTTCATGTGAAACATTCTAGCTTTCCTGTCTTTCTATATAGTTCCCATTGATAACTATTGTGACATGATTGTCACTCCTTTGTTTTGGTTGTCCACTAGTTTCATTTTTGCTCTTTTGTATCACGTGTTTCCAGTACTTGATGCCCTCCGAATATCATCTGAATTAACTGGGTGTGGCCATATACATGAGAGTTTGAGAGTTATATATGAGAGTCATATATATGAGAGTTTTATGTCAATAAATAATGCATACATTCGTGAGACTTGAGTAGTTCAAATTATATCATTGTACTAATTAATAGAATTCAAATTTAAAAAGCTCTACTTATATCTTAGCAGTGTAAATTGTGAAAGATGGCACAAATTCATGCGATCAAAAAAGGCAAGCTTGGGAAAAAATAAAAGCTTTGATACAAGAAAGACAGTGGTATGAGTGCTTAAAGCTGGTTTTCTGTTCTGAAAGGCATGCAAATAGCATACTATTACTTGGCCATTTAGACATGCAATACTATGCTTACAGATGTGTCACTAATACATTGTTTACTACTTCACCAAATGTGATGAACATCACGCAAATCGTGATCTCTTGTGTTCTTATTTTATCTGTGAGTATTTCGTGAAATTGCTTAGTGAAAGGACACTCGGCACAGTCCACTGAAAAATTAGCAAGAATATTATTCAGAGGTTGTGTATAAAATGCACCTCTTGTGATGTGATTGAGGAATATTGTGCAAAATGCCGATACTGCGTCATGAGGGCACACACGCAAGCATGTGCGCCTAGTCTCAGCGTAACTGCGTTCTGCCGCAACCGCTTCGAACTCAAATGCGGCCTTGTTGAACGCTATCATGGGCGACCACAAAAGTATGTGCGCAGTCAACGCGCACCGACTAAATCCAATCTTTCTTGCCGTAACAGTGCGAACAAAGATAGCAACGACACAGTTTTTAAGTCACGCTCACGGCCAACGCAGCACGCACAGTTTCAACACGAAACTGTTTGCCGGCAACCGCTGCGCCGAAAATTGTTCATTGTGGAGGAATTTTCATTGTAATAGACTTCGTTACAGCAGGATTTGACTGTATTCTGAGAAAAATTGCTAAATTTTTCGGCTGTGTTATAACAAGTTTCAATTCCTCCTCACGTGCAGGTGATGAAAAAGCGGTGTAATTCGTTGGTTGCGCAGCCTTTGTGAGTGGACCTGCACGTGATGCGCAATATTTTGTAGGCTGTAACACATAGACACAATGTTTCCAAAAGGGCGAATTGCCTCGGGCATTAAAATCACATGAATGCGAAGTGACTCTGCGCCTCGTCGCGATGTGCACATTCCCTTCTTTATTTGCTCAAGCATGACGACATGCAGGCCTGTAAAGCATGGCCTTTGAGATCAGCAACCTGGTGACATATTTATGATGTTTTCGGTTAGCACAGAGTTTCACACAATGATACCTTGAGTGGAATCTGGAATTGCGATCGTGTACCCCCATGAGAATTATGGGAAGTATGCAGGCTTCCGACTGGATTGCATTAGCTAGCAAACTGTCAACAAATCTTTTCCTACAGTTTCAGTTCAGTTTTTTGCGCAGTATGGGTAGTGAGGTGCAATTCAAACCAGCACCGCCTTTGTTACTAAAAGAGGCTCAAGACCACCAAGTCTCTCGATTTGCTGCGATGTTAGAGCTTTACAGGTTGTATTTGACAGTTTAAGCAGAAAGTCGACCACTGACAGCTGCGCATAAATGTAGCATCCTATGCCAGTGCAGAATATTGCATTGAGTTCACGTTTTTTTACAATCGCTTCTCGCCAAAACCCATTTAAATCAACCACATTATGACGGAGAAGCTAAGTAAACTCACTGTCATGCTCTTTTGACTCGACTTTAAAACAAAAGGAGAGGTGCGTTGAAACAGACCGCTTGAACAGACGCACCTGGCACTGCAGCAGACGAAACGTTAAGTGTTTCTCACTTGATACTGTACTATTGTTTTCATGAATAGATCATGCATACCTCTGTGAGAAAAACAAGCATGTTCATTTTCAAGAATTGTAAAAACTAGTCATTTTATCTTGATGCCAAATCTCGAATGCAATGGAATAGCAATGCATACCCTAGTGGTTAAATTTGTCCAACTTTCATTCCACCTCATGGTCACAGAAACTTTTTGCAATAAATCTTACATACAAAAGAAAGAAGCAAGTTTAATATAATATACTGATTTCATATCACTTTGTCTTACACTCGGCAAACAAACGTGGTGAATCTCAAGAATGTGATCTATCTGAAGCAGATCTGAAGCCTGTACTTCCCTTAATTCCCATGGAGGTACAAGCGTCGTCGGAGGAGCCCGTGTAGACACTAGCGCCAGATTTCCCTCTCGGAATTATTGTATGGAACTCTATGTTGGTTAGACAGGACACATCTCAGGGGCTACGCTATTTCTTGCTTTTCACCTGTTGCTACAAAGGCCCTAGTGCCATCGCCATCGCCGAGATATGGTGCGGTACATGGTCGTTTATTGTTGATGGACAGCATTGTCACTTTGGCTATGTAGCAATAAAAATTTTGACTGATGGTTGGAACGACGTCAAGTAAGGCACTGTCGTAGACAGTTTACTAGTGGGCTTTGGTGACAGCTGCCAACAGTGCAGAGTGCCTCAGTGAATTTTGCTGCTTAATAGCATTTCCATGCGCCACCTTGGATAAGAATATAGAAAGCGTCATCGGTGCAGATGATGACATCGCTGTTTCAGACTGCATCGATGCTAATATTATGGCTAACATTGCCGGTGCCACGAAAGTGAACCCGTGCGGTTATGAAGACGCTAACGTTGCCACTAAACATTTTACTGCACTACAGAGCTTGCGACGGCATTCCCCACCAATCACCGCTGTTGTGGCTGCAGAGGCTGATTTCGCTTACTTTGAAAGCTTTAATGATCGATTAATGAGGATGACTTTACAATGCACAAAGGGTAAGACAAGTGTGCAGACTTTTTCCACGCGAAGTAAAGTGCGGTAACTTGCAAAAGTTTCCACCTTTTTTTAAAGCATACTGCGAGTGAATCGTCATGCTAACGCTTATGATTTCCGAAAGCCATCTCGAGAGTTGCAATGCATTAATGTAAGCCTACAATAAGCATAGTATTTCTTATATCAAACTATTGATATACTGAATTATTTCACTATCACCTTTGAGTTCGGTATATCCACTATCAACTGTAGTAGACTTTCTCAAAAATGAATTGCGAATTTTTTTAGTGGGCTCAATGCTTTGTGCCAAGAGAGTCAGCGTGATCTCAGTAACAACCTGTCATCGGGCAAATACCTCTCATAGGCGAAACTGCTGTTCATATAAAACGAACTTCTGCATTGAGAATGCGTTCTCCATGCTGGCATGTGTCATAGGCACACGAAAGTCTACCCGAGTTAGAATGAAGATCTCGTTGCCACTGTTTTCATTTTTGACATCATTTCAACACATTTTTACTTTGGAATTCCTGCCTGAGATATGTTCTAGTACTGTTCTTGAAATATGTATTAATGCTCATGTTGCATGATTTTAGTTGTTCCAGATTGCCAAGTTTTTGCCTAAACCGAAAAATTATTTAAAAAATTTTGACTTCACTCTGGAATGAAATGATAACGTTTTGGTTACGATTTCGTTCCGGTCAAAAATATCATTTTTATCATATTTTTTTCATTCCATTTCGATACACTTATTCTAAAACCTACCCTTCCTTGGAGTGCCCTTGCTTGATTGAAGAGCCACGCTGTTGGCTCAACAAAGATGCTTGTCTGGCAAAGCCTCTCCTCTGGCTCCTTCCAGCGAGTATCCCACCAGGCAATGCTGCAGCCTGGTGTGTGAGGCACTATCTTTGATGTGAAGCAGAGGGTAAACCTGAAATTGGAACAATCACACGTGCCGAATTACTTCAGCACAGACACAAATACTACGTGGCTGTGGTTGGAAACATCCAAACAAAGTATACCACACTACAAAATAAAATGTCTAAAAAAATGAAACGAATATAGCCATTAAATTGTTCACAGTGAAGATTCCTGCTGTCAACGATCTAACTAGCCCTTCGGGAGTACCACTGACTTTTGGGAAGCACTTGTGAAGAGATGCCTCATCATCCTCACTTAATGCACGCACGCACGCACACACACTCCTTCAGTCTGTACACCATATATTGCTAAATTTATTTGCCCTCCCGTGACAGTCTAAACATTAGAAAAAGAGATAAAATAACGTGCTATTCTTTTATGCATGTATCTGCTCTGTATTATGCTACTTATACTCTTTGATTTCTCATAACAGTGATTGTGATTCCATGTTTCACTTCCTGTATTTAGTAGAAAGAACTTAGTATTTAGTAGAAAATACTAAGTTCGAAGTATTTAGTAGAAAGAACTTAGTGTAGCTGTGCAGTGCTTCCTCTTTGTTCATTATTGTCAGCTCATGCTTTATGTGATACTCGCAACAGACTCAATAATAATAAAAACTAATAGACAATGATGCCAAGGGAAGTATAGGGGTGTTACTAGAAGCAGAGTCCTTCAATGCTGTTCTGGTCACGAAACTCCGCCCGAAGGTTGATATAGGGACAAAATCTGTCGCTAGAGGCGCCACCCGTCGTATGGGGGCCACAAGCCGCCGCCACTGCTGGGCTTGTATGCGCACTGCGGCCGACGTTTCGACGCGATTGCGTGCGAGCTGTTCTTCCTGTTACCTTTTTTTAAACGTCTCTGAATGCATCAATGCCACCAGATAAATAAGTTGAAACGGGATCCAGTGTCGACGACGAATGAGAGCTGTTCACTCTGGAACGCACGCGTAGTTTACTTGGAAGTGCGGGCCCACCTTATAAACAGCAGCGCATTAAAAGTGTTCTCACACCGCGCGATAACGCATTGTGTCAATAATTGTCTCATAGCCCAATTATATGCATACTTACGATGCCTCGAAGCGGTACTTGCGAGCTATAGCTCGCAAGTGTTGAAAGACGATGCTTATGCTCCATGCTCTTGATGCGAGCAGCTACTGCTTGATCTGCTCGACAACATGTTTGTATTTGCGCCCGGCCAAAGGGCGGTTATGTTTATGCGGTAGGTGAGCTTTATATTCTGGTAGGGCCGCTAATAGGGGGAGGAAGGTGAACGAAATGAAACACGACTGGGTAGTACAGGAGCAATCACATTGTTTTATATCCGGCTCGCCTCTCGCGCGCTACTACCCAGGTATTCAAATGAACTGAATGGTTGAGCCAGAAGTTTTATTCCAGACCTTTCAATTGAGTTTATACCCAAATGCGCCGTTGTGTTGGACACACGTTTGTGAGCGCCGATCGCTTTTTTGACGCGGGAACTTTCGATGCCAAGGGCTTTCGCGACCGCTCTAAACGTACCCAACATTTGATTGATCACTTCTTTCCACGCAGTTTACACGGGACACCCGCCGCTTGACGTTTCCTCGTGTTTACTGTTTAGGGCATTATTATTTACCGGCCGACAACCCATGATTTCTCCGGGAACGGAAGTACAGCAGCCTAATCTGGAAGTTCCTTTTGATGCCAGTGCTAGCCGCTTGGCCGCCTCTGCCACTACCGAGGTACCTCATCACACATTTGTTTTTATTTTTTGGGTGGGAGGGGGGGAAGGGCGGTTATGATTTAAGGCATGCAATAAATCTCAAATTTGGTGCTAATGATACGCCGCCTAGTAGTCAGGTGTGTACTTATGAATGGGAGATTAACATATGGTGCATGTAATGGGGAGAAAGCTGGAAAACATTTATTTACACAAAATACACTGAGAACAACACTTTGGAGAAGAAAAGCACTAGAAACTATTGCAGCTGTTCTGAGCAATGTTACACAATCTGTGACTCTACTGTACAATGTGTATTTCGTTTCATTAACAGCTGCACTCTGCCTTAGCTCACTGCCTAAAATAAACTGTATTTGAATATACACTATTCACACTATATGCAGATAAATATGAATAGTACGAAAATATTACAGTGTAATGTATACAAGATATACAACACTATATACAAATGGGAAGGCGTGCTCACATACACAGCCATTGTGCTTAACACTGTGGCTTCCACCCACCACTTGCAGGGCATGAACTGCGCCGCACAGTTGCCCGCGAGGCTTTGTTTTTTTCTCGAGTGAAGAAATGTAATCTACATCTCAAAAAAAAGTGTACAACCTCAGCTGTTGTCCCTAAAAAGTGCAACACACAACCTACACTTGCTGATGCTGTGCGGCTGTCGAGCAAAATAATGCCCTCAACAATCCTCGCGTACACGTCACCGCATGCAATGTTTTGCACCGTGTACGTCTCTACATGTTCTTCAACAATTTTCAGGAGAGCAAGAAGACGGCTGCTAGGTACTTTCAAATAGCCCCTCGATTTTGTTTGTGGCTTTGTCAGGTACGCCGGGAGCACGTCGAAAATTCTTGGAACGGCGTTCGTGCGAAGCCTCGGTCTCTCTTGCTGAAGCGACACGACCACCCCGTTCACGATGTGCTCGTCGGTTCTCACAACGTCGCTAGCATCAAAATGCTTTTCGCACACCCGAACGTTTTTACTTTCGAAGCTGAAACCGCCAGCTTCCAACCGCGGTATAGCTCGCTTCCATTTCTCTCGGAGTTCGGCGCTACTTGGGAAACAGAAGAGCGACGCCTTTGCTTTGTTGCTTCGGTATCCGGAGCTGCAACCTGTCACACAGCACGTCTTAGGCATTGTTCATTCGAATTTTCATGCCGTCCACCTTGAGCACGGTGCACTGGCACATGAAGTTCGCGTTTCGCTGATGCAGAAACCGCGAGCTGCCACCACACAACGCCTTCGGGATGCCGCCGCGGCCAGTGCGTTCCGCCGGGCGCAGCGGGGCGATGGCCCCCCTAGGACGGCTTGCGCCGCGTAGCGGCCGCTCTTGGCACCATATCAAGCTCTCCCATAGAGTGACGGAGAAGTTTCGTGACCAGAACGGTATTAAGGAACTCTGCTAGAAGTAATTGTAATATATATGTGAAGAAAGAAAAGAAGACAAAAAGACAATATGCCACGGGCAGGGACTGAACCTGTGACCTTTGAACACATTTGTTTTCTACGCAAATGAATCACATAATTAATCCCAATGCAAAAAATTGAGAAGAGAGAGCTTAAGCAGAAGGCCAAATCAGGTACCACCCAAAGACATGCAAGATCCAGAAACACTTTTGCAGACATACCCTGAATCAGTTTGAATAAAAATTTGCATTTAAGAGGGTAAGTCAAACTTTAGCAACTAGGTACACAAAATTTTGATTCAGAGCATGGATTCATTTACAAAAATCGGAGAAAAATCAACAAGTTCCTAATAAATAAATATTAAATAAAATATAAAGTAATTGGAAACACAAATTTTACCAGTTTGCAATTTTCTAAAAACTGCATCCATTAGGGCATTTTAATTGGATAAATTTGATATATAGATGTGTAGGTTGGTAAGAATAGCAAAATTCCTCGAAATATTATTTTGCAGGCTACTACTTGAAGCACAAGAATCTCATTTCAAAGACACGAAACTTTCACAGAGGTACAGACTTACACATCACTGCTTGATCTCGCAGTGCCTCAATAAACTCTACGCATTCACTACCGTGTTTATCGCTGCTGATTTGCAGTGACAGGACATAATTACTCAATACAATATTATGCCATACTGAAAAGCTGTATGCAATCACCAATTTCATACAATTTTCAGACCCACATGTTCTGCTGAGTCTTGCACAGAGGCCTTATTCGACAGGTCCTCATCACACCAGAACATGGACTGTGTGCGCTTGCTTGCTCGGTAATCTTGCAATCATGGCCACTCCCATTACCAAACCATTTCGAAATCGGCTTCTTCAGTACAGTCAACAGCTATTTCAGTGCTGCTTGCCTGTTAAGAAACTGAGGTATACGCCTGCATTCCATACTGAGCGGGCAGGAAGTCCGATCTACTGTTGCCTATCCTTGCGCAAGGGTATTTTTTCACGAGCCATAACTGAAAGTGAAACCATATAATGCAATATGTTTTTACTGATTGTGAAAACTGATTTGCAGGAGAATAAGTAGGGAAGGTATAAAAAATATATAATATACTAAGATGCTTGCATTCTTCACATGTTAAGGAATATGTGGGCAAAATTTTATCACAATCTGACTATGAGAAGTACCAAACACATGATGTCCAAACTCAAGAAATTGCCCAATATTGTATTATGAGAAAAACACATTTTAAAGGTATAAGTGAAAGCACATCTATGCAGAAAAAATGTTTTTTAAAATGATCTCTCCCATGATGAGAGCTTAGGAATCGGGGCTATTTTGAGCATGTGGCTTTGGTGAACTGCTCATCTGAAATGCAATGGCAAGCAGCCGGCTGACAATTTTCAGGGGACTCTAGACAATGTGCCCTTTTCAGTTTTCAGTTGCCACCTTCCGCTCTTTAAAAGCAATTTTAAACTACTTTGAGCTTAATTACAATCTTCAATGTTTTTTTGTCAGCCGTATACATCGATATTATAGAGAGGGCATTGTGAAGAACTTTCGTCCCCAAATGAAGGTGAACTCCACGCATGTCTAATGCTCACTACAGATCTGGTGTTACCGTCACTACAGCTTTTGCTGTCCTTCCTATAGAGCCACGTCAGTGTTGGACGCGCTAGTGATGGGCCTTGATGGAGGATATGAGCATTTGGATATACTTTGGAAGTGAATTAAGATATTCTAAACGTTTGCTGCGTCCGACCATTCGTGTGGGATGTCCTTGCATACAGAGGAAACCAAAAAAGCTTGTTATAGCCACAAAAAGCTTGTTATAGCCTCGAAATTTGATGGCCCTACCCCTTTAATTTGGACGGCCTGCAATTTTTAAAGGGGTACTGACTCAAAATTTTTTTTTGTTTTCACTTATTGTTTTTTTTTTGCATCAAATAATAGGTCAAGCCCCCGAGAGCATTGGAAATGTACCGGTAAGCGTGAGTGCACCCTGCAAAATTAATTACCAAATGCTTTTAAATGTTAGTTTCAGTTCCCACTGTACCCTGACGTTATGACATGGTATGAGCAGTGCAAGCAGGCTGTAGTACATGCACGCACAAGTTTTTGTGGTGTAACCTGGTCCGCGCATAGCTTGTTCAATCGTCTGCTTCATCTACTGCGTGCAACTTTGGAATGGCATCACATTTAGGACGCAGGTTCTTCGTGAACAATGCGGACTCAGTCAGTAACTGCATGTTGCATGTGTACACGTCCGGAGTGAAGTGCAGCGAACAGAGTAAACTCCACTTGGTTGGCGTCTAGTCTCCACTTCGGCCGCGGTGCACGAAGTCGACCCACGCTTGTCCCACAGCCAGATCACACAGGAATCGTTCGAACTTGAAATTATTGTCCCCAGTTTCACTGGCAAAACACTTCACAGAGCAAAATATTGGCACCATAATGACAAATTTGAAATCAAACAATTCGTTGTTTCTGATAAGCGTATTCCCATGCACGTACACTATTCCAGGTTCTGCTAGCTCGCTTCACAGGTACGCTGGATGACAGCGACCGCACGACACGAGTAGGCGATTGAGAAGGTAATGCGCAAACTGCCATTTTTTATGTTTTGGTGTCTGACGTCATCACAACTTGCCAGATTGCTGCGTGAAGTCAGCAGAATTAGTACTGTAGCCTGATGTTGAGTTAGTGTCGATGTCGGTAGGTGTGCCGCTAGAGAATTGACTTTAATATCAAACAAAAATATTTTATCAGCCTTTGCTGAGCATCACACTTGCTCAGAGCCATCTCTGTAAACAGGAGACTTGTATAGCAGAGTAAACTCATCTCCAAAAAAAGGTGTCACTACCCCTTTATTATAATACAAGGTGGTGAGAGCAGATAGACATGACCACCTCCTCTATGTAAGCAATATCATCTGAGTGTCAAAACACCCACAGTTTACACAAACGGTGCAATGTACTACACAGACACAAAAAAACCTAAAATACTGCCACTATAGGTACTGACCTACATTTCCTGCACCTTAAGCATTCCCCACTGGACCTGTCTTGATCAGTCCAAAAGCTTTTCACTTCGCACGGTACAGCATAAAATGAGCCAGCTGCAACAGGGAAGATCCTCAGTAAGCAAGAAAGACACCATTAATACACAAGAAATAACATGTTTACACATGAATACAAACCTCTTCATTTACAATAAATTGTTTTCCGCAAAAATGTGAACTGTATATGAACTGCTGTGAACCGCATATGCTGTTATATCTTAGGAACATTTAGAGTTTGCAAGCAAAAGTTATTTCATTTACGCATACGCATTTTGTAACACTGACCAGTATGTACCTGCGTGACTGGTATTTTTATTTTATTTTATCCATACACATTTAGTGTCACAGTTTCCATGAATTCAAGGCCAATATTGCAATAATATCTTCGCAATCAAAATGCCTCCAGCAGGCGCGAAGGTACTTCAGTTCAAATTAAAATCAGGCAGTCTCTTTCAATGGGATGGCTCTCCATACCTGTAGCATAGTTCTGCATCACTTGGTACACAGAATAAGACTTTTTATCAATGCCTTTATATATGGAATGGCAGCCTTGTACAGCAAGTGTTAAACCCTGTGACAAATTACTGAATATCAATGTGACCACATAGAAAGACCTGCTAAAGTGAAACAGATACAACCACACACAGCAACACTCCACCACGACCCTACTTATGGTGCTCACCACTCTGGAAGCCGCAGTCAGTGGTTGCCTTCCATTTTGCTCCGATGTATGCTATGAGCATCCACATTAAAATGTTCACGGCCGTCTATTATAGTGCCTAGAATGCTTATAGTGTCACTTTCTAGCTATAAAAAACTCCTGCACAGCAACTGAGGGCAGTATATCAAGCCCTCCCATAGTGTTATGATGGAGTTTCATGAGCAGTTGCGAAGTATTGAAGGACACTGGCATTTCAGAAAAGAAAGACTAACATGACACACTATTAATGGGGAACTTCCTGTAAAAGCAGAGAGCCTAGTACATTAGACGTTGAGGAAACTAACACGAAGGAACTGCCATCCCAGTATCTTCACAAGTGAGGCTTACATAAATAAAGCTTAAATGCTAAGCTACATAACTGTATTATGCAGATAACAGAAAAAATGAATGGAGCACACCACCACTTTTCCTCAGAATCTTTGTGAAAGCTTCTGCATCTGTATATAATGTCTATACAAGCATCCAAATAAAACAGAGGTTTTATAGGAGGATGGAGAAATCGTCGGCAATAGTCAAGCAAGGCATGGCTCAAGCGAATGTTTCTACAAGAGGCTTGCCTTTTCATAACATTGGCTCCAGGTTGAGACAGCCACGGTTTAAAAACCCTTGATAATGCCAAAACAGAGATCATCACAAAAGATTCTTCAACTTAATAAGAATCCAACCTACCTTTCTTAGCCAAATGAGAAAGCCGCTCCAGAACAAAAAGTCTGAACTGCAGATCTGCTTTGTCTACTTTGTATCCCATTTTCTGGAATAGCTTCAGCTGGGCTACAAAGCCTGCATTTGGTCTGCAGAATAAAATTCAAGCAATCCAAGGAATCACACCATCAGTGAGCAGCAGGGCACACATTCATTTAATAGCTATATAATATCAGTGTAGCAAGGGGGGTTTAAACCCTCTTTAAACTTTTTCTTTTTTATCACATCCATTGTATTGGTGGCTCATAAAATGTGCACAAATATTAAAAAACAAGGAAACTGTGATATTTGTTTGCTACCTTTATCGCTTCATTTCAGTATGCAGGAGATGAAAAACATTAATGTAGTAATTATTGAAATAAGGCTTTTTTAATTGGAGGAGATAACTAGTCCAAGCCAATGGGAAAATTCAAGTTCTGCCTACAAAGGTGTATTGAGACAGCTTTCTAAAAATGGGTCACTATTCATTTTTATACGGTGATGACGGATGATATTTGACCAATTTCACAGGCATATTGTGCTTCTGATTTTTTAAGTGAATGTGTGCACAAGACATTATTGAAAAGGGCTGCATGCTTGATAAGCTATGGTACAGTATCTTAAGTGTAAATTGTATATATATTGCCTTACGATTTACACTACAGTATCATTGCAATTTACCAAATTTAAAGATATTTTGGCTGTGCCTGGTTTCCTGATATGCATGGTAGTGTGATGATAAGACAAATGTGGCCAGTAGAGGCCTTGCAAACTAAAATGGCTACGTAACATCAATAAAGGTCACAAGAGTATTGTATATTTATACTTACTTTACAGTAAACTAGCACTGCTAAGTAAACCCACTGTTGTCTTGCAGAAGTAGCCTTTTGTTCAGATGGTCCTTATTTAGCACTGCTGTTTTTAAAACTAAAAATGACAAATACAGCCAAGCTATATAATTGTTGGCAAGAAAATAGTAAATCCTAGAATCCAAGTCTTTTTTTACTCATATTAACACAATATAACTTCAGTTGATTGTCGGAATGCTGCAAATATTATTTGACTTTGGTATAAGACTGAAAAGTGTTGGCACTTCTCGGGCTTGATTGATTTGTGGGGTTTAACGTCCCAAAACCACTATTTGATTATGAGAGACGCCGTAGTGGAGGGCTCCGGAAATTTTGATCACCTGGGGTTCTTTAACGTGCACCCAAATCTGAGCACACAGGCCTACAGCATTCCCGCCTCCATCGGAAATGCAGCCGCCACAGCCGGGATTTGATCCCGCGACCTGCGGGTCAGCAGCCGAGTACCTTAACCACTAGACCGGCACTTCTCTGGCTTAGACTGTGCATGTAGCAAAGTGCCTCTTAGAACTGAGGGCGTGTTGCTACATAACTTCAGGTAATTGGCAGCTTACGAGCACATGGCCCCTAGCAGGGATTGAACCTGAACCTTCAAATAATGTGTCCGATGCTCTACCACTGAGCTAGGGTGGCGGTCATCTCTCCATCCGTTTATAAGGTATATATGTGCATTTAAACGTTGGAGCCTGAGTGATCACAGCCTGTAGCCATTAAGGCATGTGGAACACTTTTTGCCTGTTGGCGTCACGTAGCACGTGACCTTATTACGAGCTGGCAGATGATCAATGATTCCTCGCATACTACTTGAAAGCATCAACATCCCCTATGCTTTTCTTGGAATCATTGTCCATTAGCTTTCATTATTCTTAAGTCTAACAATGAAAACGAGGCCTTAAATTTACACTCCTTTCTGACTTTCAAACCCCTGATATAATTGATGCAAAGCATGCACTACATAATTTTTGGACAGTGCACATGTCTCAATAGTTACCATAGTCAGGCACAATTGTACAAACATGTCAGTCCATATCATTAACTCAGAGCTATGTGTAGCCACAACAATAAACTGTTGCCACACTCACCACCGGCTACAATCCGAGACAAACGCAGAAAATTTTCACGCTCTTTCGAAACTTTGAATTAACTACTATTTGCAGAGAAAAGTGTGCTGCTAACAGTGCTGAACCTTATGTTGTTACACATTAGCAGTGTCTAATTGCTTCCACTTCACATTGTGCAACATCAAACACATAATGCGAATTGACCAATAGAAGTAATATTTTGCATTGCGCGTGCAAATAAAACAAAACAAGCATTTTCCTTCCACAGAACGAAAAAAAATACTAAAGAATAACGGGGTAAGGGACACAAAACCGTCCAAATTCCCGTCACATACCCAATGCAAAAGCGCCTTTCCTTCAGTTTGTGCAGCGCTTCAGCATACCCTAAGGCATACTTTCGCATAAGATGAGCGGCAACCAACGTGGCACTCCTGGAGACACCGAAGCGACTGGAAAGAGCAAACAGTACGAAGTCATCTAGTCACCACGAGGTAACGTGTGCGCAGTAAACACGCCAAGAAGTAAACAAGAGGCCAACTCACCAGTGCACTAAGCACGCGCCACTCTGTTGCCCCTTTTCGATGAAATCGCAGGCCTCATGAAAGCGACTCAGCAAGTCCTCTTCGGCCCTGTCTTCGGCGTAGAGGTACAAGCAGACGACATTTCCCTCGAACGTGAGCCGATATGTGTCCACCGTTAGAACGTGAGTGATACCGAAACCTTGGATCAGCTCCTCATCTTCAGCAGCGTCTCGTCCACCGAGGTATAGGCCGTCTTCCACGAGACTGCACAGAGGCATGGATTTTGGATAAGCGGTATTGTCCGCAGATTCTAGTAAACTCTGTCGACCATCACCAGCTCTGGCCTCGGCACTCATGCCTCCGGGAGCGCAAGATGCTCTCGTTATGAAAGTAAAAGCGGTCAGCAAGCGTCCTTGTTTACGTGCAGCAAGTTACCGATGCTGCTCGGCTAAAACATTAAGCGATCATTCCTGTAAAAACGGAGCGCGATTATTAATTCCACTGAATGAAAATGAAATCGCATCCATGCAGCATGTGGAACAAGCAAACAACCGCGACGCCACGCTTGTGTTGTTTTCCGCTAGGGGCGCCCTTTGCAACACTGGTACCAATAGTGGTACCGACTGCGGTCGAGAGGTGGCGCTAGTTTGACCATAGTGCATTTAAATGATCATTTAAATGATCTCGTATTTAAATGACAAACAAATAATAAATATAGCCGCAAGAGTCGAGGAAGAAGTAGGCGAAATACCAGGCAAGGACTGGGAGTATAGTGAGCTGTTACATCTAATGACGAAGGAGATAGGGAAAGAGAAGAAAATTGTTTGCTGGAAAGGAAAAAGGAAGCCAAAAAGTTGGTGGAACAAGGAAATCCGGGAGGCGATCGAGAAGCGACGCGAAGCATCACGGGAGCATAGAAAGGCAAAAAAGGAGAAGCGGCCGCAGGACGAAGTCAAAAAAATATGGGAAATATATTTGGAGAAAAAATTCCTTGTACAGAAATTGGTAGAGGCAAAAATTAAAGGTGAAAGTGAACGCTGGATGACAGAGATACACGAAAAAAAGGAGGCCGCGCCTAGGATTTTTTGGAGCCACATCTGTCACAACGCAACAACATATTCTAGATGAAGGAGGAAATCAATTGGAAGGGTACGAAGCGCTAGGTTACATCCAAAAGGTAACAGCCGATTCGTTTCAAAAGAGCGTCCAGGGGATCTCCCCGGTGAGTAAAAGTGTGGCGGAGAAAGCAACAGAGGAAGAGCTAGTACTTGATAATTTCAACTGGAAAAAGGCCGAAGGAAAAATTCCAAAGCGCACTGCCGCGGGTTTAGATGGGATTCCCGTTAGCCTCATTAACGAACTAGGGCATAACACTAAAGAAGCATTGTTAAAAGCAGTAGAAAAAAGCTTAAAGGACGGACAAATACCGGACAGTTGGCGACAAAGTAGAATGAACTTAATCTATAAAGGCAAGGGAGAAAAGGACAAGATTCGCTCGTATAGACCACTAACCATTACATCGGTACTATACAGGTTGGCGATGCAAGCAGTAAAAATGAAAATAGAAACATGGGCCGAACATAACGATATTTTGGGAGAACTTCAGAACGGATTCCGAGTCGACAGGCGGTTAGACGATAACCTGTTTGTTCTCACTCAGTGTATAGAAATATCTAAAATAGAGAATAGGCCCTTGTACGTGGCTTTTCTAAACATCACTGGGGCATACGACAACGTTAATCAGGAAATTTTGTGGGATATATTGAAAGGAATGGGCATGGGCGACGACTGTATACAGCTTTTGAGGGAGATATACCGAGAAAATACAGTTTGCATAGAGTGGGAAGGAATGCGTAGCAAATAGAACGTTGAGGTTAGCAGGGGTCTGAGACAGGGATGTCCTTTGTCCCCACTGTTATTCATGCTGTACATGGTCAGTATGGAAAAAGCGCTAGAAGGTAGCAACATTGGTTTTAATCTGTCACACAAACAGGGCGGCATGATGATTGAGCAGAAGCTTCCAGGTTTATTTTATGCGGACGATATCGTCTTATTTGCGGACAGTCGAGATGATATACAGCAGCTGGCGAATATATTCGGAAGGGAAGGTGAAGCTCTTGGACTAGGATTCAGTGTAACGAAGTGTGGATTGATGGTATTCAATGATCCCTGTGATCAGACGGTGTCCATACAAGGCCAAGAAATACCGAGGGTAAGTAAATACAAGTACCTTGGAGTATGGGTAAATGAGAGTGATAGATACATGGAGGTACAGGAAAAAGCCTCGGCAGCAAAAGGAAAGAGGAATGCGGCAATAATGAAGCACAGAGCGTTGTGGGGATACAATAGGTATGAGGTGCTTCGAGGTCTGTGGAAGGGTGTAATGGTTCCAGGGCTTACTTTTGGGAACTCAGTGGTGTGCATGAGGGCAGAGGTGCAATCGGGAATGGATGTAAATCAAAGGACTGTGGGACGCCTCGCGTTGGGTGCTCACGGGAAGACGACAAACGAGGCTGTAAAGGGCGATATGGGGTGGGCAGGTTTTGAGGCGAGGGAAGCGCAGAGCAAAATAAGGTTCGAAGAAAGGCTAAGAAATATGAAGGAGAGTAGATGGGCAGAGAAGGTGTTCCGTTATTTGTATAGGAAGAGCGTGGACACACAGTGGAGAAAAAGAACTAGAAGACTCACTAGTAAATATACGGCTGGTATTGTGAGCCATATGTCAACAAAGAGCGTTAAGGGAAAAGTCAGGGAGGCGGAGAGGATTTACTGGATGGCAGCTATGGAGAAAAAACCGGCTCTGAGTAACTACCGAAAGGGCAAAAATGAAATAAGGAGGGAGGCATTTTACGATAATTCAAGGGGAAGCGCTTTACTGTTTGAAGCGAGATCGGGTTGCCTTAGAACGCGTAGTTATAAAGCAAGATTCAGTAAAGAAGAAGAACAATGCACATGCTGCGGGAAAGATAAGGAAACGGCGGAGCATGTTCTGATTGAATGTGGAGATATCCACCCAGGTGTACGTTTGGGCACGAGCCTACAGGAAGCCTTGGGTTTTAGGGACAACAATGGAAAGCTGAACACACCCGCGATTGAAATAAGTAAGAGACGGTTAGAGTATTGGTGGCAGAAAATTAGAGAGAAAGGACAAAAATAAATATTGGAAAAATGAAATATGGACAGTGTGTCGTAAATGGCAGAGAACTTAAGCTGAAAATTTACCTTTTTTTCCATTAAGATAGAATTTATCGAAGTAGAGGCATTAGGCCAACATAAAAAAAGAAAAAAGGGTTTTTTTTGTCGAGCCTGGTGGCATACTTGTCACCACCCCGTTATAAAGGGGACGCTCATAGCATCCATCCATCCATCCATCCATGCGGAAAGAAAAGGAAAATAAATCGGGGGATTAAAATTAGTTATATAAACATGCAAGGCGGCCGCAAGCAGGAAAAATGGATGGAGATACAAACCCAACTCGAGAAAGAAGAAATTGACGTGTACGCCCTGACAGAAACCCACCTGAGAGATATGGAGGAGCCACCAGTGATGGATGATTACGTATGGGTGGGGTGCAACAGGGCAGCGGGAAAAAGGAAGGATGGAGGCGTGGGCATGTTGATTAGGCGAGGAGGGAATTGGCAGAGGGAAAATCAAGGCTGTAAGGAGCACTTATGGGTTAGTGGAACGGTGGGGGGGAAAAAGACACGGTTGGGAGTGGCCTATCTGTGGACAGGGAATGACGCCAGAGAACAAAATAAAGAGTGGGTGGACTGCCTCAGGAAGGACATAAAAAAAATTTAAAGAATCTGGCGAGGTGATAATAGTAGGAGATTTAAATGCCCACATTGAGGATCTGGATGGATATACAGACTATAACGGTGCAATGGTTACAGGGGCGGCGCCAGGATGTTTTTACTGGGGGGGCAACCACGAAAAGTGAGTTCCTCCGGGAGGGCAAGCTAGCTCTGCTCCTACTAGGTTTTCAATATATGCTTCCGGGCACTTGGGTGGGCATAGGGGGGGCAGGCGAGAATTTTGGGGGGGCTCCAGCCCACCCTTGCCCCCCCCCCTGGCGCCGCCCCTGAATGGTTATCGATATGTGTGAATAACAGCAACTGGTAATAGTTAACCGGGAACATAAATGCGACGGGCAGATAATGTGGCAAAGCGGCAGTAGACAGCCTTGCATAGACTACGGCCTGGTCTCAGAACACACGTACGAGCGGTTGAACCAAATGACGATAGATGAAGAAGGAGAAAACAGTCTGGGCAGCGACCACAGGCGTATAATCCTGAAATTTGACAGTGGGGGGGCTAGGAAGAAAACACAGGAGGTTGGGCTCCCGAAAGTAAGCGAAAAGCAGATAGCAGACATCGTCAATAGCATCGAAAGAGAATTAGAAGCACAGCCAACAAAGGTGTGGGAATATGACGAGGTTGTTAGTTGTATACAAAAGGAAATAAACAAAGTAAGGAAAAAAAACCGCTGGAGGGGTAAACGGAAACCACGAAGCTGGTGGGACAAGGAAATTAAACTGGCTATTGAAGAGCGACGACGGGCCTCTAGACTGCACAGAAAAGCAAAGCAAATGGGATATCAGGATGATGAGGTGCAGTTACGGTGGAGCCGGTACGGAGAAAAGAAATTTGAGGTGCAGAAACTAGTACAAGCGAGGATTAAAGCTGCGAGTGAGAAATGGGTATCAGACATACGTAAGAAGGATAAGAGCGCCCCCCGAAAACTCTGGAACCATTTAAAAGCATTGGGAACGACGACTAAAGAGATGCAGACTCAGATACAGGACGGGACGGCAACGTTCTCCTGGGGGACAGCGCATTAGAATACCTACATGGAGTCATAGGAAATACTTTCGGCCAAGCACGCGAGAGGTCGGCTAACTGGACACAGGTGGAAAATAAAAGAGTGGCAGATGAAAAATTTAATATCGAATTTTTGGACTGGAAAAAGGCAGAACACAGTGTTCCCAAAAGTACGGCAACAGGACCGGACGGAATCCCGATAGAGATTATCAACCATTTGGGACCAGCGGGACAGGCGCACTTGTATGGAGCCATCGAGCGCGCTATAAAATCCAAGAGGATTCCTGCGCACTGGCGCGAAAGTAGAATGAGTTTGATCTACAAAGGCAAGGGAGAAAGGGACAAGGCGAGCTCTTACAGGCCGATTACAGTCACGTCAGTGCTCTATAGATTAGCTATACAAGCCATCAAAGCCGAGTTGTTGAAGTGGGTTGAAAGTAACGGTATTTTAGGGGAACTGCAGAATGGATTTAGGCCAGGTCGACGCTTGGAAGACAATCTTTTCGTCATAACCCAGACCATCGAAATTTCGGCAGCACAGGGCAGACCAACATGGCTACTGTTTCTGGACATAAAGGGTGCCTATGACAACGTGGACAGGGGATTGCTGTGGCATATACTGGAAGAGGAGGGGATTGGGTCGGAATTTGTAGGGCTGCTAAGGGCAATATATGAGGGTAACAAGGCACACATTACATGGGAAGGGCGTACATACACAGAGCCCGTGTACA